AAAGGTAGATCTTTGGGGGGGGGTACCAAATATATATATATATGTACATGTATATATAGTAATTACTCAGTAGAGTAACCTGCATGCGGAGAGTGCGACGGTTCTGAGCTGATTCTGCAGATCACGCCCGTGGTGCCCAGCCGGGAGGGTGTGCTGCAGAGGCCAGGCCAGATTGATCATGGCAACAGGATTGTGAGCCCTTTGTTGAGCCAAAGACGGAACGAGGCCTGTGAATGAAGATTCGTGCCTGAAAGGACGCCCTCCCAGTCTTGCCTGACGCCTGTCAAGGTCCACAAGGTGGAGTTTCCTGACTGAACCTTCTGAATATCATAATGGTGGCTGCGACCAGATGTCACCAAGGTTTCAAAGAGTGGGGCTTCAAGACGGAGCGGAGTGGGATTCCCCAGATGAACAGGACGGTGAGTCACCGCAGGTCGGGCAACCCAGAATCCTGGCATATCCTGGCATTTATTTGTTTATTGCTAGCTCTTCCTTGGACAGGATGCCCGCTGGGAGCCTTCTTTGGACAAATTGAACCCCAAAACGGAGTACTACGAGATCAACAGTCAGCAGGCTCATGCTTGCATCTCACGCAGGAAGACACATGACAGCACGTATTCCTGCAGGACTCTCCGCGGGATCATGATCCTCGAGATCCACGAAATGACCGCGCTTTGGGAGCCTAAGCAGTTGCCTCAGCTGTGAGTTCATGCGTTCTGGCTGAAATGGTGAAATTGAATGATAAGCATACGTTCTGTGGACATCAACATGCATTTGTTTCGCGGTTCTGTCCATGTACGTTTCTGCCACGCTTGCGACAATTCCAACCCGATAAGCCGTGAGGTCAAAGCAGGAGCGACAGCGGACAGCTCCAACATTGGCGACCTCCGGGACTTGAACGGTCTGCTGTTTCGGAGTCCTTTCAAAGGCTGGGTGTGAGGCAAAGGCATCAGGCTTACCACGACAAATTACAACTTGAAAGGTTGTAGTCGTGGCTGCTTTGAAAAGGGGGCAGTGTGGGGAGAGCTGGTCGGTGTCGGCAAGGTCCATCAGCAAAACTAGCAGGGCCGCGCGGCGTGGGTTCTTTCTGAATTGTTGCAACCTTGCATCAGGCACATCTCTGCACCATGGCTGGTCTTGCTGTGGCCATGCGTTTTCACACTTTGCTGGCAAGCTGTGTGCCAGGACCTGCCGATGTACGATTTAGAGCGATTGAATTCATCTTGAGGCGTGGCCATGTCACACAAGGTGACAGACTTGTCCTGGAAGGGAGAGCAGATGCTCACTTCAGACTTGGGACTTCTTAGGTGCTCCGGTTAGTGGATTTGAGGTACTCTTGTCTGCAGTGTTTTTTCTGTTCAACATGGATGTTTGCGTAGCTAGCGGCCCCGGTTTCGCCAAACTCGCGGCACTGCATGGAACAACATGCAAGCATGTCGCACGTCCTTCACTGGCTTTACAACCACCGGTTGGGAGAGGATAAGAGGACGAGTAGTCTTGTCGTCATCACCATCATCGTTTTTGTTGTGGTCAGTAGTGTTGTTGTCACTGTTCTCTCTTGCTACCGACCTTACTGTCATTGTCATCGTGGTGATCGTTGTCATGATTATTGACATTTTGCCTGGTCAGTAACAGTTTTTCTAGCTTTCCTGTATGATTGATTACCTCTTGAGTGGAAGTAATCGATCAACTGGCAGTGTTGCCTGTCCCAACTACTGGGCTGTCGAGCTTGGACGGTTCCAACAGGAATTGGATGCAGCAGGCTCGCGCCTATCTAGTGGCCGCCGACAAGAACAGCTCCAAGCCAGGCATGTAAGACAGGTATCCTTTTCGAAAATGGTAACAGAGTGCAGCAGTGTGCCAAGGAGCTGTGAGATAAGGCCCAGAAGCAATTTGTACTCGAGAGGCTTGCCGTGGGATTGAAAACGGATTCAGAAACT